GCATTCCTGTACTGTATGTATGAAAAATATGAATCCCTGGAATCACAACTTATAAGAATATAACAAAGCTACAATGGAACAAAATACAATGAGGTATTCCTTGACCTCCAGAAACAGTGGTCCAATTTTTTCTTTTTCCAAAAAGTACAACCATCATTCATATACATCTAAATGCTCACCAAATGGAGAATTGAACAGGCCAGAATTAGATGTCAAATCTGTTCTTGGAGCTGGAGCAGGAAATGCCAATGTAGATGGGTCTGATGAACTAAAAAGAGATGGAGATGAAGCTTGTCTGAATACTGAAGGAGATGATGATGAAGTTGTGAAAAGATTGGGTGAAGTTGAGAGAGGAAAAGTTGATGAAGTGATTGGTATAGATGAGGTCCTAGAGCCTCTAAAACTAAAGGATGGAATTTGTGGAGCAAATATATTCGATGGAGTTGAGGTATTAAAAAGACTTGAAGATGTTTGAGCAAATGTTGGTGCAGGATTCAAAATGTTTGAGGTCGACAAGGGAAAACAACTCCCTCCAGCAGGAACATGTCCACCTGAAATTTCAGATTATACATTTATTATATATAGAACTTGGTAGAGGCCATCATTGCTCACAAGAAATTTCTTAAGTTAAATATACCTCTATCCCCCAATTGATAATCCTGCCATCTCAGTTCCTCGTGAGTTTTGTCTCTATAAATCGGGATCGCCGATATTGACTGGAGGTCTCCCCTAGTTTCTAGACCAACATAGTCATCTGGTTCAGTTGTTGTTGTGTAAGGAGGAACTCTACTTCCCCAAAGTTGGGCCCCAGAAGCTGATATCCCGAAGGCAGTGTTTCCAAATGTTTTTGATTGAGCTCCTGCATCACAAATTATAAGAATATGATATAGCAACAATGAAACAATAAACAATGAGGTATTCCTGTATATTTGATTGAGCTCATGCTCACAATGAGGTATTCCTATATGTAAGGAAAATATGAAGACCTTGCATCACAACTTATAAGAATATAACAAAGCTACAATGGAACCAAAATCAAGGAGGTATTCTTTGACCTCCAGAAACAGCTATCCAGTTTTTTTCTTCTGTTTTCAAATTGTACAAACATTCATATATATATCTAAACACTCACCAAATGGAGAACTCTGCGCTCCAGAAGGACATGAAGGACCAAATTGGCTGCTAGGAAATGTAGAAGTTGACTTCCCAAAAGAAGGAAGGAATGAAAAGGTGAAAGATGGAGTACTTAAATAACCAAATCCAGGGGTATTTGAAACAGCAGAAGTAGGATTGCTTGAAGTACCAAAAGGGGACCTAGAGGAACCAGAAGCTGGAGTACTTGAAACATAAAATCCATGCCCAGAAACCAAGGGGAAACTAGAAATCCCAGTGGCAGCTTCTGTGCTTCCACACGTAAATCCAGGGGTATTTGAAGCAGCAGAAGTAGGATTGCTTGAAGTGCGTAAAAGGGAGCAAGAGGAACAAGAAGCTGGAGTACTTGAAACATAAAATCCATTCCCAGATCCAACCAAGGGGAAACTTGAAACCCCAGTGGCAGCTTCTGTGCTTCCACACGTAAACCCAGGGGTGCTTGAAGCAGCAGAAGTAGGATTGCTTGAAGTACCAAAAGTGGAGCTAGACGAACCAGAAGCTGGGGTACTTGAAATATAAAATCCTAGCGCAGGTCCAAATACGGGGGAACTTGAAACCCCAGTGGCCGCTTCTGTGCTTCTAAACGAAGGACTTGTTGTGGAACGAAGCGCTGCACTACTTGTAGCACCAAAGGGTGGCTGACTTGATCCACCAAATGGCGTAGAAGAACCAAATATATTGCTCCCAAATGTTGGATGTGATGGTTGAGTTGTGCTTCCAAATCCAGGGGTAATTGAAACAGCAGAAGTAGGATTGCTTGAAGTACCAAAAGTGGAGCTAGAGGAACCAGAAGCTGGGGAACTTGAAACATAAAATCCATGCCCAGATCCAACCGAGGGGAAACTTGAAACCCCAGTGGCAGCTGTGCATCCACATGTAAATCCAGGGGTATTTGAAGCAGCAGAAGTAGGATTGCTTGAAGTGCGAAAAGGGGAGCAAGAGGAACAAGAAGCTGGGGTACTTGAAACATAAAATCCATGCCCAGATCCAACCGAGGGGAAACTTGAAACCCCAGTGGCAGCTTCTGTGCTTCTAAATGGAAAACTTGTTGTGGAACGAAGCGCTGCACTACTTGTAGCACCAAAGGGTGGCTGACTTGATCCACAAAATGGCGTGGAGGAACCAAATATACTGCTCCCAAATGTTGGATGTGATGGTTGAGTTGTGCTTCCAAATCCAGGGGTAATTGAAACAGCAGAAGTAGGATTGCTTGAAGTACCAAAAGTGGAGCTAGAGGAACCAGAAACTGGGGTACTTGAAACATAAAGTCCATGCCGAAATCCAACCGAGGGGAAACTTGAAATCCCAGTGGCAGTTGTGCATCCAGACGTAAATCCAGGGGTATTTGAAGCAGCAGAAGTAGGATTGCCTGAAGTGCGAAAAAGGGAGCTAGAGGAACAAGAAGCTGGGGTACTTGAAACATAAAATCCATGCCCACAACCAACCGAGGGGAAACTTGACACCCCAGTGGCAGCTTCTGTGCTTCCACACGGCAATCCAGGGGTACTTGAAGCAGCAGAAGTAGGATTGCTTGAAGTACCAAAAGTGGAGTTAGGCGAACCAGAAGCTCGGGTACTTGAAATATAAAATCCTAGCCCAGTTCCAATTCCGGGGGAACTTGAAACCCCAGTGGCAGCTTCTGTGCTTCTAAATGGAAAACGCGCTGCACTACTTGTAGCACCAAAGGGTGGCTGACTTGATCCACCAAATGGCGTGGAGGAACCAAATATACTGCTCCCAAATGCTGGATGTGATGGTTGAGTTGTGCTTCCAAAAGGGCTTGTACCACCAAAGGCTGGGATGCTTGTAGCACCAAAAGCTGGCATGCCGTCAGAACCAAAGGCTGGGGTGCATGTTGAACCAAAGGGAACAAACAACCAGAAACCTACACAATAATTTAAGTACCTCATAAATCATGATCCAATTTCATTTTGCAAGGAAATAAGTCTAGGACACTTGCCAATTAAAGACACAAGTGAAGTTCCCACACCATACAAAATTTGTTTCGCAAGTCAGCTGATAGATCCAGCAATTAAATGTACAGTGAACAGAATATTTTCAACAGTATCATAATGTCATACATAAACCATAGTCCACTTATATATAGGCATGAATTTTGGAAAAAGAAACTCATGCACAAACTTGCAGTTTAATAAAGCAGACAAAACTAAATATGCAAGCAAAGGTCAATAACCTCATATGCAAGAAAGTGACATTGTAAGTTATTCTAATAACCATCTTTCACCATAATGATATAACACTGAAACAGTGGAAGAATGATGAAGGACAAAAAGTGGAGAAACTCTAAATAATCCACCAGCTTACCAACAATTGAGGGCGACGATGAACTACTGAATGCAGGAGTAGAAGATGCTCCAAAAGTAGACATTGTATTTCCAAAATCTGTTGAGAATGAGGCACCGAATGTCGTGGAGGAAGGAAAGGGTGTAGAAGATTGGGCTGCAGCAGACACACCATTCGAAGTGACCCCAAATATGGGACTCCCTGTTTGTGGACCAAATGGGGTTGTGCTACCAAAGATCTGGGGAGCAGAAGGATCGTTACTAGTGTTGCGGGTCTGTCCAGCAACTGACTGGGACATAAATGGGCTTCTATATGATTGCCCAAGAACTGTAAAACAATATTCCATGGATTAACTTATTTTTCACAGAGAAGAAAAGCAAACATATTCCCAGGGCATAAAAGCACCGGATGAAAATAATCAGAGCACATTGACAGAGTGCTAGCAAATGCAGGTCGTGTTCATGTTACAACAAAGCAAACAAAATGTGTATGACCAGTTACAAGTCCTATATACGCATATCTTCAAAACTGATTCATCCTTATGATCTCTAAATCACCACCAAAGTTCATAGAACCAAAAAGAGAATTAGTTTCAAAATGAAAAGAAAAGAAAAGAAAAGGCCTTAAAGAATTGTCACCAACAATTAAGTAGGCTAGTGCAAAGGTGCGAGCTTTTTTAAAATAACTTTTGCGGAAAAAAGCATCATGATTTCTCCAGAATAAAGGATATATGATTGAAAAATAAAACACAGAAAACACTTGTTCGCATATGAAAAAATTGAAAATTACTGAATGCAGTTAAATAAGATGAGGCAACAAAATCTTGACTCATAAATCATGCAAAAAACATAGAGATAAGAGAGCTTACTGTCAACTGAACCAAACATCTCCAGCGATAGCTTGTGGATAGATACCTGAAGCGAAAACAGAACACAAATTCAACAACAATCGCAATAATGCAAATCAAAATTCAACAAAAACATAGACAGAATTAACGGCGATCATGCATTGGCTAATGAAAGTGAGAAATCGCTCAAATACAAGTTGAATTAATGCGAGAAAATTACAGGAATTGGTTGTAATTGGGAAACGATAGCATCAATTAAAACATTATAACAATATGATACATTAGGGTTTTGGAAGTACCTGTAAGTGTGTGAAATTTGGGTTGGATTTGGAGAATTGGAGAATGCCCAAAGGGTTTTACGAGTCTGGGAGAGAGGAGGGCCCCAAAGCGTTTATATATGAACAGTTAGCGTTCGAAGTAAGCAGGGAGCGCGGGAGGCCTCCGTTGCAACGATGTCGTTTTATGCATAGTTAGCGTGCGTTCAAAGCTAGCGCGGAACGCGGGAGCCTTTCGTCAATATAGCTACAGTTAATTAGCGTTCGAAGCACGTCCGTAACGTTCATAAAAACAGAAAAAAAAAAAAAAAAGAAAAAAAAAAAAGAAAAGAGTACGTCCGTAACGCGTTTATACAATAATATATTCTTAAAGTTTTACTTTTTCCTTTTAGTTTTATTTTAAGAGTAATGCTACACTTACCACAATTATATCCCACATTTTCATACCACCTTATGTGGCAGATGAAGTGGGCAATCACATCAATTAAAAAGTATCAATAAATCATAAAAGTTAAGAAAACTTTAAATTAATTTTAATTGATGTGTTGTCCACCTCATCTGCCACATAAGGTGGTATGAGAATGTGGTATACAAATGTGGTAAGAGTAGTATTATTCTTATTTTAAGGACCGTTTGGTTTACGGAACGAATTTGAGGGGAAACAATTTTTCATGTTATTTCTCAAGGGATGGGAAATGGAATATTCTTTTCTCATAGTTGGTAATGCTAGGAAAGTAATCTAGAGATATCACTTTGTTTCTTTTCCCATGTTTGTTTTGAGTATGAATGAAAAATAAAGTTTGTATAAATTTTCAATTATACCCATATTAAATCAAATAAAAAAAGAATGAATTTAATAATATATTGTAATTTTAAATTATTAATAATGACAAAATGGTCATGAAAAATGTTTATTTAATATTGGCTCATTTTCCCAAATTTTCTCATGAGGAGGGAAAACAAAACAAGTTGGAAGGATGACTTCACTTTCTCCCCTACTTTCTCATGTGTCAGACAACGATTTCTCATGTCTCGATATAACATCCTACATCAACTAATGAAGAGGAAGTGATGTGGCTTCACTTTCTCCCCTACTTTCTCATGTGTCAGACAACGATTTCTCATGTCTGGATATAACATCCTACATCAACTAATGAAGAGGAAGTGATGTGCTTTATATGTACATGTCCGCCTCCATCTAGCACGAGGCCTTTTGGGAGTTCATTAGCTTCGAAGTCATGGGAAGTTAAGCCAGTTGAGGCTAGAGCAATCCTAGGATGGGTGACCCACTGGGAAGTTACTCGTGAGTTCCCAGAAACAAAACCGTGAGGGCAGAGAGGGGGGCCTAAAGCGAACAATATCGTGCTACGGCCAATGATTAAAATATCGGCCGTGCAGATAATATCGGGCCTCCAATTTATGGATATTTCGGGGGATATATCGTTATTGTTTTAGGTATCGGAAAAAAATCAACAAAAATGATAGATATAGGTATTGAAACACATAATTTTTGTGTAAAACTTTCATAGATGTTATATACATTATCAATGAATATATTGAACAAATAAAACTCAAAATTTACTAATAATAAGATATATATATATATATATGATGAAATATAAGTGGTATGTAATGCGCATTAATGAAAAGTTTGAAAATAAAATGTTAATTAGAATGAATAAACCATGCATAAATCCATAGTTTGTTTAAACATTGTATTACAATTTAGATAAGTGTCCATCTACATAAATGAAGAGCTCCAATGAGGTTCAAACAATGAGGAACAACCATCTAGATTCATACAATAGTCATACCAAGTCATGTAACCCGAGCAGTTTGTAAGCCATGTTTGAACATGGTGCACATAGGTCTCTCTTGAGCTCTCTATTGTCCTCCCATATATGGGATAGTTAGGATTAACCAACTAATAAGTCCATAATTTTTTTTATCATCTTGAGCTCCACAACTAGTTCTACTATAATTAGACATGACATAAACATAGACATCATAAAATTCATTTGAGTTAGTACTAGGTCTAGTTCATATGTTCATAGATCCAAAACTGATCGTCATGTCCTCTTTAGATGGATTGGAGGTATGTGGGCAGTTGACTGTGCATAGATTCTTCATATTAATAAATTATAGGGTTTTGGGCAAGGATTAACTATTTTTGTGTTTCAATTTGTTTCAATTGCCTTCAAAACTTCTTAATTTTTTTTTGGGTTCTGTTATGAGTATCGGGAAATATCGAGGATATCGGCAAAATATCGGGAATATCGCACTTATCGGGGATATATGGTCGATACAGGGGAAGATATGGCCTTACCCCCCCAGTATCGATGTCGATAGTTGAAAATACCGATATATCGGCAGATATATCGGTGTATCGGCCGATATTTCAATCCTTGGCTACGGCAGAGCCTATCCCGGGATGTGACAATTTGAAATAAGAGCCACTATGTCGTGTGGTGCAAGTATGCCGAGGAGGACGTCGAGTCCCTAAGGGGGTGGAAAGTAATTGATTTTCCATCTCCAAGTCTCCTTTTCCATGAACCAAACGGGGCCTAGGACATGTTGGTTAGGCCATTTGACAAGAAAAGTGAGCCTATCTTTTGACACTCAAGTAAAAACCCACTTCGCTATAATTTAGAGTAATTTATATAAAAAAATTGTGGAATTTACCAAGCCCATTATTTGACTTGAAAAAAAAATCCGAGCTCTTTTATTTTTTATTTTATTTTATGACTCATGAGTTAGTAAGTCATGACTCGAGGTTCAACAATCTGCATAGTAGGGTGTACATATGCACGGAACGTGGTGGCATATTTTCAACATTTATGTCATTAAGCAAGTTCCATCTATAAATAACCCAATTATATATAAACAATTTATGTAAACAAGCAGAAAGTGACAAAATTATCAAATTTGCACACGTGGCAATTTTAAATTGAAATGGTATATAATTCTGCATTGACACATGGCATATCAGTACTTCATGTATTGGAGCTCTTTTTATTTTTCATTTTTATAAATCTTTTGGGGCTAATTAGGTGCATGAATGAGTGGTTTTTATGAATCATGGACGTGTATTCCTGTGTTGCAATAAACTTTTGCTTTTTGGTTTTTAACCCATGAAAGAGGCTGAATGCCCCCAATAGATTAGTATCAAGTGAAGCTTTGCACTTTTCAGTGTCTCCTAAATATCTGCACTAAAAAGAGTGGGTAGATAGATATGCACTAACTACTTGAGAAAAAGATAGTTTTAAGATGATGGGAAATAGGCTCACTAAGCTGAACAAAATCAAAGTGACTCATAGGATTTTGCTAAGTTCGGTCGCATGTGTGGGCACACAAGAGATGTCAAGTCCCCAATGTATACACGCCTCATTACCAAATCCACATGCATCTACAGTCACAAATTATCCACGCGCTCGTCGGTGGCCCACCTAAGCATTTCTCTTCAGCTCATAATAGGATAGATTAATCCCCTAGATATGCAAAGTTTGAGCTAAAATCCTTAGTGGAAGTAGGACGTCGGCAAAACCTGCAAATTAACAAAAGTTAGCTATGGACATGCAAGGGGTCCCAAAAAAAGAGTGGTCGTAGTCATCCCATAAAAGCAACTGTTTGATGGTCATGGTCATGCCAGAAAGCTAGCTTATTTGACATATAGATTCTTGAATTTGGTACCACACTGCTGAAAATTTGAAGAAAAGGAGAGCAACCTCAACCTAAAAGCTAGCTATTAAAGATAATGACAACGTTGATTCAATAATGTTAGCCTCATCACATCTTTATTATCATGCCTATCATTTTGTGAATGAACAGAAAGCTTTGATTTTCTACAATTTCCTGTCTGATCATTCATTTCTCTCTCTATGGAAGTAATATTATCCTCTATATATCCATATGCAGCATTTGTTTTTTTATTTATTTTAAAGTTGGGCATTTCAATCTTTTGTATATGCTCAATTAACATATGGGTTCATCAAAATAAGTTAGTTGAACAAATCATATTTTTTAAGGACCTTTTTTATTGAGAGATCGATGCGATAATATACCAAGCTCATACACACTACACGTATGCTATGACTCGAATCCAGAGGAGCAATTGCTCCAAACCACTCCCCTAATGGGTCCTTTGTGAGCAAACCGTGTTTCAAAACATTATGGTTCTTTCGTTTTCTTTAAGATTTTTGGTGGGGAAGATTTGACATTTTGTTCTAGGCCACATAGTTGTTGTACATATGCTGTTTATTTATGTTTCAGAGATGAAAGTATTAGATGCCATGCACAGAAGAAGGTAAGAGTATTTCTTTCCTACACCACCACTCAAAAGATGCCTAATATAGTAAGAGTTGTTGACTAAAGAAGCTTCACTGTTGTGAAGATCATCACCTGATATAGTATACACAAAAAGAAAAAAAGAAAAGAAATATGCAAATGGGAAACTCATGGCCTATATACCTCAAAGGCTACAGCTGCTAGGGATGCATGAGATCGTGGATTGATGCCTGATAAACCGTGCAGGCCTAGCAAACGATTCCCCAATTCATCTCCCTATATCGGAAAGGATCAGTCAAAAAAAAGCAAAAAGAAAGGGAATCAAACATTAAATAATGTCAAAGTTGGTTGCTTAAAGCAGTGATTTGATTTGAAGAATTTTAATCTTGCTTTGTGCCCACTTATTCTGGAGCCTGTCTATTTAGCTCATCAGTCAGGTGTTTGCCTCAGGTGCTTTAGTAAGCATAAGAATTTCATTGGCAAAAAGGCAGAATTGAGAGGTCTTGCTCTGCCTCCTCCTAGAGTGCTGTGTGTTGTTTAAGCTTCATAATTTTATTTTTTTTTGCAGGAGAGTGAGAGCTAGCTGAGGTTCTAGTCTCACTGTTGAAGATTTGTTGGATATTAAATGGCTGTCATGAAGAGCTGTGATGAATGGAAGCCTTTCATTGCTATGGTAGCAATCGATTTCTGCTTCGCCATAGTGAATATTCTTCTCAAGAAAGTCCTTGATGAGGGAATGAACCATTTGGTTCTAATTACGTACCGGTTGACAATTTCTACCATTTTCTTAGCT